GCAATGTACTTTACTGGTGGAACTTCTTGACCTTCTCAACCTCGTCGAAGCTGCCCATGAAGATTCCAGCCCTGTCGTGAATACCCTCGGGAACGACGTCCAGCATTCTCCTCATTTGGCTGTCTACCGCTTGGCCACCGGCTGTGATGATGTTGTTAGCATGCTGTGATTCAATCGGTCTAACAGGCTGCAACTAACCATTCTCAAATACCAAGGCCATGGGCGCGCACTCGTACAGGATACGAAGCTTGCCCTTGGGGCTCTTTTTATCCGCCGGGTAGGCAAAGACACCTCCGTACAGCAACGTACGGTAGGCGTCGGCGACCATGGAACCAATGTAACGCGCGCTGTAGGGCTTGCCGTTCTCCTGCGGCGTCTTCAACGAGTTGAAGTAGTTGTTGGTGCTGTCCTCCCAGTAGAGCGAGTTACCCTCGTTGACGGAGTAGATGGCGCGGGACTGGGGCAGGCGCATGTCCGGGTGGGTGAGGATGAACTCGCCGACGCCGTTGTCGAGGGTGAAGCCGTTAACGGTGCCGCCCTTCATGGTGAGGACGAGCTGCGTCGAGGCGCCGTACATGGTGAAGCCGGCGGCCAGCAGCTCGGAGCCGGGCTTGAGGATGTCCTCCTTTGTGCCGGTGGAGCCCTCGGGCAGCTTGTGGATGCCAAAGATGGTGCCGACGGAGACACCGGCGTCGAGGTTGGAGGAGCCGTCGATGGGGTCGCAGGCGACGGCATAGCGGGCGCCGGTGGCGTCCTTGAAGAAGATGATCTCCTCCTCCTCTTCCGATACGAGCAAGGCGCAGCGGCCAGAGGACCTCATGGCTTCGATGAAGAGGTCATTGGAGATGACGTCGAGCTTCTTTTGGTCGTCGCCCGTGATGTTGGAGGAACCGGCCAGACCCGTCAGGTTGACCAGGGTAGCTCGGCGGATGTAGTATGCGATGGACTTGAAGGAGAATTGCAGAGCGTGACACAGAAGACTGGACTATCGTTAGGAGCTATCACGGGGGCTTGGAAGCGCGTATGAGACCTACGTGAAATCTCCGGTGGCTTCCTTGTGCTTGGTTTGCTCTTCCGTCAGGAAACGGGTCAAGGTGATAATGTTGGTGTTGATCTTCTCGGTCTCTTGTTCACCGGCGTTCGTTGTGTAGGCTGACATGATGGGCTAGAATTTGGTCTACAGGTACCGAGTCTTAGCTATCAATGGTAGAGGAGGAATGGTCTGGACAGCTTGTGAACAGAGAGAGAAAACTTACGGAATAATTCCAATGGAGGACGAGGGGTTGACACTTGCGATGGCGGGGTTCACGGGAGCTCTAACAAAGAGTGTTGCGCACTGACACAATGGTTCGGGATGTAAACCGAAGGATAGTAGAGGATAAGTAGATGAAGGGAAATGTTGCAGGAGGAAGGGAGGGAGAGAGAGCAGAGAGAGAGAGAGAAATAGTCAAGAGATGCGATCACGAAGGAGGAATTGGAAGGGGAATGGACCTTGTTTGTAGTCCCCGGGTCTTGGGGCATGGACTATTACTAGGTAATTACCTGAGACTTCAATCATCAGCGTTGCCGGAAGCTCTCGTGTGTGTACTTCCGTACCAAGGGGTCCTCTTCTGGCTCTCGATGGGCAAAAGCATGGTCCATGGCCCAGCCATGGGAAAATGCCCCTCAGTTCGGCATACGGCTATCACAGGGCCACACGTCCTATTATCGCGCTCGATCCCGAGTCACCACGACAAAGTGGAGTCAACCGCAGGCACCTCCGGCCGAGGGGAACCCGAGACATGGGGACGCGGGCGCAACAAGGAGAGGACGCAAGGCGTCCCTCGAGGATTTCTCGGAAACCCTCGGCGCGGTGTGCAGCGAGCACACACGATGGCTGCGGCAGTCTACGGGTGGCTTTGGGAAAGCAGACTCTGAGAGGGCGGCTGGGTTGGAACAGAGAACCTTGCCTTTGGCGGGGGCGGGGGGGCCACGCCGCACCTTTGTGTGGGCAACGCAGCTTAACAACACTAATAACTCGCGTCGAGGGGGAGGGGCTCCAGAGCCAGAGGCAACTCTTTCGGGGATAGGAGATGAGCAGATAGAGGAGCGGCAGAGAAGCACGGCGGATAAGACATGACCGATGGACGAGGTGACATCATGCGGGCGATGGGATGAAAGTGTTCTGGAGTCTGAACCCTAGCACCTTTTTCTTTCGGCTTCCAAGCCGTTGGATCTGACGGATATGTAATAATTGCTGTTTCGGCGTATTACCCCGATAATATTCTCCTCTCTGAATAAGGATGTTGGGATGTTGAGATGTTGTATTTTTCATGTTCTTTCCCAGTCTGTGGTGAGAAAAAGGTGTTGACTTTGTCCGGACCAGTGTGCTTCTTGTTGCTCCACGGGACGGACGGGGGTCGATTCTCCAGTAGGTGCCGGATGGAAATAGAAAGACACGAGAAGTGGGATGGATAGTGAATGACAAGGGGGTTTCCGCGAACCCACTGCTTACAATTACCATAGGAGGAAAAACTAGTCATTGTGTAGTCATGAGAATTCAGCCTCTCCATACTGGTTGTGGAGAGGGAAGATCCAATATCCGTACCTTACCTCATAGAGAGCAGTTGGTTGCTCATGACTGGAAAAACGGTAAAGATTCAAATCAGAAGCGAAACGCTTTAACGCCTCATTGCCAGGCATAACTGGAGAATATTCTTGGCGTAGATGCTACCTCCCTACGCAGGACCTTAGCCGCAAAGGGAATTATTCCGTATGCACTTGGTAATTAGGATATAAGTTGCCGATGACTGGCCCCTTAGGCCTTGGGTAAAACGTACTGCCGTCAATTGTCACGGGTCACTCAATTTCCCCAGCGAACCCCCCCACCTCCTTAGCTAAGCTGACCGAGTCGAAGAAAGTCTCTAGGCACGTGAGAGCCTTCTCCGCACCCGGCTGCTGCTGCTGTTGGCGTTATGGCTGCCCAGGTGCGCGTCCTTCCGTCTGTCTGGCCCCCCGGGTCCCCAGGCTCCCAGCCAGCACCCTAAGCCCCAGCTCTGGCGATGTCTCGGGTTCGCTGGCGGACCTCGGCATGTGGCAGCTCGTCTTTGAGCCGGTCGGCTTGCCCAATGCTCTGCTCTCTCTTTCTCTCTCTAAACCGCACCACCCCCGATAAGACTCCCTATTTGCTTTCGATACCATATTTGAATGCTACAACCTCCGCGTGAAGACCAGCCCACTCATCCATCTCGTGCTGCTTCCCCATCCAAAAAGGGCCATCTCCATAATCCAGCAAAACATCATCATCTAACTCCACCATCGCATCCATCCCATCCGGTGATTTGCAATCCCATCAAGAACCGCCAAAATGGTCGCCGACGCCCTCATCTACCACCCGTCCGTATCGCACTACAACAAGTTCGTAGCCACCACCGTCGGCCGCGACAAGATCCTCCGCACCCTCCAGTACTTTGCCCGCTTCTACGCCTGGTACCTCTTCCGCACCAATGGCTCCAAGGCCGAGATCGCCCCCTGGGACGCCATCAAGAAGCAGTTCGGCCTGACCCGCAAGATCATGCGCATCGGCAAAAATGTCGAGCACTTCAAGGCCGCTGCCGTCGCCTCCGACGCAAAGACGATGGATCCCGTCCTCCGCTACGCCGCTGTCGGCCGCCAGCTGGGCTACGCCGGCTACCTGACCTTTGACGCCGCCACCGTCCTCGACGCCGCCGGCATCAGAAAGTGGGAGGGCGCAAAGAGGCTGCAAAAGGAGGCCTACCGCTTCTGGGCCATTGGCATCCTCTTCAGCGTCGTCGCCCAGACCTACACCCTCTACCGCCTCCAGCAGCGTGAGGCCAAGGTCGATAAGAAGGAGGGCGAGGGTGTCGTCGAGGCCAAGAGAATAGCAATGTACGTTCCGCATAGTCCCTCAAATGCTTTTTCCAAAGTTCTGGCAACACCAAGCTGACAAAACAAACAACAGTGAGCGCGCCGCCGGCCGTCTGCAGCTCATCTCCGACCTCTGCGACTTGACTGTCCCCACCTCTGCCCTCGCGTGGGCCAACTTCGACGACGGCATCGTCGGCCTTGCTGGCACCGTAAGCAGTTTGATTGGCGTGTATACCCAGTGGAAGAAGACGGCATAATCGCGTTGCCGCACGGAACAAAGGAAAGATAGTACGTTGTATATGTATGCTTGTGATGAATTGTGTTGTATGTCGGATAACGAGATGCGTCGTTGGAGCGATTGGTATTGTACTTGTCTACTAAATTGAAGAGGAGGAACGTTAGGGGTTGAGCTTGACTGAGGCAATGCTTTTGAAATCTTTTGGGCGTTCGGTATGCACCTAGCCTGAGCTGAAGGCATGGTGCTATGATGGGCGGGACAAGGTAGACAGACTGCCAGCTACTCCCTGCTGTCGATGCGGACAATATAGTCGGCTTGGATACCAAGTAATCCTCTTTCACCAACATCGAATATTCAAGATATTTACGAACGGAGATATCTCTTGCTCTTGCTGATGGCAAGTGGTTTCAATCGCCCTCAGTCGCTACAACTCATTTGGAAGAAAACCGGTCTGAGCCATGACACATGTCATTGTTCGATTGACTCGAAAGCCGGCCCCCAAAGACCAAAATTGTGCTCATAAAGCGAATACGCCATTTCATTGTTGGTGGATATCCATGCATGTAATCGTACAATATACATCAGGCACTCGACATTTTTTCCCTCCTGAACTCAACGGACCCAGTATCGTTGCATCCGCAGCTGTGTTGTTGATGATGCTTTGACAAAAATCGCAATTTGAAACATGCCTCGAACGTCTGCTCGACGAACACCGTAGAGGCAGGCGTAAGCCTAACGCTGCTCAACCACCTCATCCTATTTCATTCTCACGGAACACCGCTTGTTGCCATTGATATTTACCATTGTGGCTGGAGCCACTAGTGTGGAGGTGCTTCCAGCATCTATTCAGAGTCAAGGACAGCCCCTATGAGGCAAGTTTATGAGCAGGAGTGAGTTACCAGTAACGGCCACCACGTTCATACTCGCGAGGGTACCCATCACGCGGGTAACCTGCTTCCCTGGGAGGGAAGTCTCTAGGGGGGCGATCATACGGCCCTCTGCCGTTGACATAAGGGTCGGGCGGCGGGGGGTAGTCCCGTCGGTAAGGGTCGTCGTAGCGGCCTCGTGGAGGGGGGTAATCGTCCATGGGGCGACGCGGAGGAGATCGGTAACGAGCACGCTCGTCGTAGTACTCGCGGCGGGGACTACGCTCACGGTATCCCTCACGATAACCATCTCTGCGTGGGCTGTAGCCTCTCGGGGGACCACGTCGGTCGTAGTCGTCGACTGGAGGCGGGTAGGGTCGACGGCCGCCGCCGGGGGAACGAGACCGAGCGCTGCGCATGTCGCCACGAGGCGGCATGTCCGGTTGAGTCTGGTAAAACGTGAGTACAAAAATTCTCTCATCATCGGTCATCTGCTCTTGCTTACGTCTGCTACGCAGGTGACGCGGCTTCCCTTGAATTCCCGGCCATCAAGCTTCTCGACAGCGGTTCTCAAGTCCGCCGCAGTCTCGAATTCAACGAAGCTGGATCGAGTCTTGGTCAGCAAACGCAAAATTGCAGGTGTTGGGCTAAGGTCAACATACCCGCGCCCGTTGCCGTCGCGGGGCGTTTCCGAGTAGACAACGTCAAGGCTTGACTGACGAGCAAAGTCTTTGAGGTCCTATATCCAGAATCCATGTAAGTTGGTGTCCAGGATCGGTATGATGGGCCGAAGAGGGCTGGTAATCCAGGATTCATAGACCAGTCGGCAGCAAGCCAAGGGGATTGAAGCCAGGAGTGGTGTCGTCCGGCATTGGGGTTCCGTCGCTGCTTTGGCAGGCCCGCGCCGGTTCAAAGAAACGGCCATGGACTTGGGAAAGCAAGGTTCAGGAGCGCAGCACGGTCCGGACTAGTCGACTGACAGGCCGCCAATGGCTTGGAGCTGAGGCTATACAGCATGCCGAAAAGTCCACAGTCCACCTCGAAGGGTACGATGAAGGTCCAGGCGCGCCATAGGCGCAAGAAGAGAAGGGAATCCAGGAATCCAGCTTAGAGAATGGGGAGAGAACAACAGACCTGCCAACTGGTATCGGTGGGAAGTCCCGTGATCTGCATTCGGTGGGGAGTGCGGCGAGGCCTGGGAGGAGCGCGCTCATTGTTGCCAAAGCCACCGGCACTGCCGCCCTCCCTGTGACGGGTTCCACGGGCAAATTGTACGGTCAAGCGTTCGCCCATGAAGTCGGATCCATCTTTTCAACGCTATGGTTAGCGCACCAGAAATGAAGGGATATCGTTACGCGGTGGGACGGCGCAGTAGGACATACGGAAGGCTAGGCAAGGAAGAAGTTAGCAACAGAGTAATGCATATAGGCGCAATCGTAATTAGAGCTGGGATCACCTACCAGGAACAACATCGCGAGCATCCATGGCATCCTTGTACTCGATGAAGCCGAATCCGTTCATGAGCTTTATTTCGGTAATTTCGCCGGTGCCATGGGTCGCGAAATGGGCCTCGACATCAGCCTTGGTGGCTACGAAGGTTAGCCGGGTTGCGATAAGAACGCGCCGGATGATGCGCAAGGTTGAGCTTACCATTGCGAGGGAGATTTCCCAGGTACAGCCTGGTGGAGGATACCTCGGTCATTGTGGCGTTGAATATGATGCGTCCTTGGATAAACAGTCAGGGTCGGTCGTTGGATAGAAACAAAGGTTGGCCCAAGATTCCGGTCTGGATGGAGGAGAATTCGCGAAGGCGATGGTCCGCAGACCGGGCAGGGAGAGATGTCCAAAGGGTTTCCAGAGCAGTCCTAACGGAATAGCTGCGAAGGCAGAGAATGGGGCGACTGGGCCGGGGAGGACGAGGCTTCAACGACACAGGCCGGCTTTGACCAAGGCGCAAAGATTGAGGTATACTGACGATTCAGGAAGACGAGATGCCCGGTCTAGTCGTCGCTCGACGTCTACGAGAGGGGAATTGAATCGACGGGGGACGGTTGGTGGGCGGGGATATTATGAGGACGGGGATTTCGACGCTGACCCGGTCGGTCGAGTCGCGATGCGATTGGTCGGAGCAGAGATGGAATCTGACTGTGTGAGAGGTCAAGGGCGCAGGATTCGGAAGAGGAGGAAGAGGAGGGGTTCTGGAATGGTTGTGGTTGTGGTGGTTTGAGGAGAATGGGACAAGGTGAGGTAGGTAGGTAGGTGTGGTGGTTAGGCAAATGGAAGGTATTTGATATTGCTTAGGTAGGTTGGCATCCGTACCTCAGGTAGCTACACAGTAAGGTAAGGTAGGTACCCTTGGGCAGGCGGTAAAGTTCCTTACCTCTGCGACGGGAGGTACCGCGGTACAAACAGTGGATACCTGATAAACCTATGTTCCTTGCGATTCGGTAGGCAGGAACTTAGGAAGAAGAGGATGAGAAGGAGCCTTATTTCTTCCTTTTCCTCTTGAATGGAAAAAAAAAAAAAAGAAGGAGCAGGGGAAACAGCAGGAGGCTAGGAGCTGTGAGTTCGAAAGGAAGGAGGGTGGAGCGAAAAAGAGAATCAGACATGGGCCTGGAGGGGAGGCGAGGAGGAGAAGACTGAATCTGGGCGTGATGGGCCGCCAGCCGCGCCCCAGAGCACAGCTGCGGCCTTCTGCTTCTGGTCCCAAGGGACCTTTGAGCAATGAGGAGAGCGCCTGCCCCCCCCCCCCCGGCGCACTAGACGTAGCATCAGCCAATGATCGCGTTTGATTCAGTCTCCTCGACCATAGTGATCCTGGCTCGTACCTGACGATGGTGGGAACCTGAGGTAGGTAGGGAACCTCACCTCACTCCAAAGGTACTTTTTGAAGGTACACGAGCTCGGGTTCTTTCTTTGAGTCGCAGAACAGCCAACACCTTGCTTTCTTCATCACTCAAAATACTCAGCCAATCCCGTCTACCTAAGAGCTCTTGTGCCCAAGTCCTGAAGGTATCATTACCCTAAGAGTCCATCTTCATTGATTCACTCATTCATTACAACAGCGATGGCCTGAAAACCCCGGGAAGATGAACCAAAAGCCTCTGGCTTGTTGGACATCTCACCTCGAGGAAGGAACCTTGCCGTTCAGCCAGATCAGTTACATCGCTCTAACCCGGCTCAGGTACGGATACCTCGCCAGACCAGGGTCTGCGAAAGGGGAACATCATGTCCGAGGGTTCGCTTTCATCCGATCAAGCTTCCATTCGGCTCCACGAGTCTATCTCACCAGAAATCTTGTGGCTAAGAGGGCAGCCAACTTTCGTTCTTGTTGTGTTGCAAAGTCTAGACCTCATCTCGACTCAGCTTTGCGACAAATCCAGGGGAAGTCGCTCTATGCGCACAGGTACCTCACTAAAGGTATTCATACTGGTCATTGATCACGGCTAAAAGAAAAGGCGTTCCAATTTCGGGCTAGCTCATGCACGTTGAATTTGACACTCTTCATTTTGAAGGCCGTCACCTGTGGCTAGCTCCAACGGTCACTGTGGCGCTTTCCCTCCGCATCCTCCTTCTTCTTACGTTTAATTTCTTTTGTTTCTTTAATGGATCCAACTGTCCCAGAGAGGAGGAGAATAGAAGGAGTCGCCGGCGCAACTTCAAACTCCCCTTAACGTCCCAAAACAGAGAGGGGACGAAATAAGGAAGATCTCCGTCAAGGATGACAACCTCCTCTTGGCTTCGGTCCTATTCCGATTGCCAACATCGCACTGCCCAGCCGGGCCTTGTATCCACGTTGGTTACAAAGTGAACACGGGATGCACCAGTGTTCGGCAACTATTATCACAGTAGAAAGTCTCAGCGAGAGACAGAGACAACAGAGACACGCCGGGCGACCTCGTCTCCAGATCGGTGCCACCCCGGCGCTCTGGCACCCCCCTTTTTTCCCGTACGACCCTCGCTACATTTGGTAACCAAGCCCAGGCAGTTCCAGGACCTGTTCGTTTCACCAACCCGCAATAGGACAGTCGACACCAGGCAACGTCTCAATTCATAGTCACATTTGAAGAGAAAACCAAGCCGAGATTACCGTGACCATGAGGGAAATCGGAAGATCAATGACAAGGAGCCAAGTCTGCCAAGACAGTTCGGATACTGCAACAGGCTGACTTTACTCGATACGTTGTGACTTGTGGAACGAACCAACTTCCCTCTCCACCCTTTCTCCCGCAACAACTATCCATGGCAAATCAGGGATGACTTGAGAGAGCGAGTCGGTCGCGCGCATGCCATCCGATTATCTTACACTACTTTGACACACAATCTGATTAATCACGGTCGATTGATTGATAGAATAGATACTTGGTTGTCGCCATATCACCCAACCAAGCTTCACAATCCGATGTGCGGTACCACAAACACGCAAGCTAAACCCATCCAAGACGTGACGAACGTTCGGTAAAAGATACACCCTGGAGTAATACCGAGTATTCTTAATCATCAAAACCTCCACCAAGCCGTCCGCTCTGAGGGGATGGTGGGACCCCGAAGCCCGAGGTTAGCCTGGCCTCGAAACTCAGACGGCCCAGCAAAGATATCTATTATTCGCATCCGACCTGGTTCCGTAACAGAGACGGGCCTCCTTACTCCTGCCTATTCCACACATATTCTCCTTTCCTCTGCCGACCTATATGTCAACGGACAAGCAAATCTAAACCACCGCTCTCGCGGGTAGGAACTTCAGACTTATTGTTCCATGAGCCAAGGTGCAATTTCCTGTGCTGGCTTTCGGATCGCACGCTTTTAAGGTTGTCACCATTGACTTGAATGTGTCTTGAGCTTCATCAATCTCGCGCGTGTGGGGGTTCCTGCCTAGCTTCTTTATGTAAGTTTACGTATCTAGTTGACTAGACAATCCATCGCGATTCCTGGGGAACCGCATATCCTTCTGTAGGCTTCATAGGACACAGTCTCGTGCCTCTTGTCGCTTCATTACATCTTTCCGTGAATAGATCCCTGTCAGGACTTTTGCATTATATGCCACTTCTTGGGCCATCCGCCTTCCTCTCTCCTGACATGAGGGTGTATAAGTATGTATGTACTTCCGGAAGAAGAAATATCAAACCAGACGCCTGCTCATGCAACCTCATAATCGTTTCCGGCGTATGCCGCCGGTTTGGGCTGAATGATCGTACTCCCATCGCCGCATCACCTGTAAACACATCCGAATGGTATCAAACTGACCAAGTAAGCAAAGCCTGCGCGTCTTAACCAAACAAAGTTTCTATCAATTCATCCATGAACGTAAAGGCTAAGTGTGCGCTGAGAAAAGATGTCTTGTTAGCCACGTGACAACCAACGGCAATTCAGCTTTGCACCGACAACTTACTTGAGTCTCGAATTGTTGAAGGTTGCGAACACACGCCGGCTGGCTGCTTGTGCATTCACTCTTCCGACAACGCTTCCTGCTAGGTCGGGTATAAGAGTAGCCAACATCAAGCTGGCTTCCGTCCTCGTCTTCTTCTTCTCTGATGCCGTCCTCGGTTGCTTGTTCTTATTCATTTCACCACCGGGCCACATGCTATCCTTGAGCAGGGCGATGTACTTGATGATGGCATCTTCCTGTACAAGCATCTTGACATTGTCTCGAACCTTGCGCTCGATTGTGCCGCCCAGTAGCTGTTGAAGGACAACAACCACAGCACGCCCTCGAAGCCAGTTGTTTCCTCGGTTGAGTTCAAAGACTTCTAAGAAGATGTCGCAGATAGGCTTGATGAAAGACTCTAGCTCCTTGTTCTCGAAAGCGTTCAGTTCAGCCTCGGCCTCAGCAGCGCTGACACCATCCTCGTTAACAGGTAGTGGCATAGCGTTCAGCTGGTTAGTGGCTGCTGCGATGAGATTCTGACCAGCCACAGACAATTGATCCAAGACAGGAATGTTGCCGAGGATGTCTTCCATTCCATCCGTAACGGAGTCGTAGAACCTTGTGATCATGTCTTTCTTGTCCTCGCGATCCACAAGATCTTGGCCTTGCGCTATCACACTTTGCGACAAGAATGCTCGCAGATCTCGACTCCTGCACGCCTCTGGAAGCTGAAGGAGATCTCGGAGATACTTCTCAAGGGCCGTCCGTCGTTTGCGTAGAAATTCACTCTGGAACTTCATAACCATCCTTCGCCTGGGAAATTCTAAGTTCCGAACAGAAGGATATCTTGAGCGAAGTCTCTGATGCAGATCGTGGAACTCGCTATACCGGCGAGTAACCATCCATGTCGCGGCTGGCATCTTCTCGCCAGCATCTCTTTGCACCTCGATCACATACAGGGCAAATTCCCTTCCATCGTCTTCCTTGCCGACTTGGATGGCCTTGATCTTGATCGTTGACCGCCCATACAAGCTGTTGTCGCTTTCTTGAACAACGTACTGTTGCCTTTGAAGTTCTTTGCGACGGATCTCACGTTGCAGACTCGCCTTGGACTTCCGCAGGATACGGAGCTCAGCCGTGTTGTTCGTGAGGTCCGCCTTCTTTGTTAGTGACTCGACAATAGCATCTTGTGCTATGAGGCGGTCAATATCATTGGACAACGCCGTGATAGCTTCTGCTAGCCCGAGGTCACCAGGGGCTGCTTCCTGGATTTCGTCCTCAACATTGCCTTTTGTTTCTTCCTCTGGATCGTCTCGTTCGTCAGAAAGGTACTTTTC